GTGGCCCCCCCCCCCCCCCCCTTGCTCTTCCCAACAGCGGCGGGAAAAGATTGAGCGAAGGCAGCAAGAAGTTGAGACCGAGCTCAAGATGTGTAAGTTGGGGGGCTCCCGGGGGGGCTGGGGGGGGTCCCCCTTTTCCTCTGACCCCCCCCTTTTCCTCTGACCCCCCCAGGGGACCCCCACAACGACCCCAACGCCCAAGGAGACGCCTTCAAAACCCTCTTCGTGGCCAGAGTGGTGAGTGAGGGGCTGAAGCGAGGGTGGGACAAGGGGGTCCCCCCTAATCTGGGGGTCCCCCTCAATCCTCGGGGTCTCCCCTAATCCTCAGGGTCTCCCCTAATCTGGGGGGGTCCCCCAAATCGTTGGGGTCTTCCCTAATCTAGGGGTCTCCCCCAATCCTTGGGGTCCTCCCCAGTCCTTGGGGTCCCCCCTAATCTGTGGGCCTCCTCCCAGTCCTTGGGGCCTCCCCTAATCTGTGGGGGTCCCCCATAATCTATGGGTCTCCCCCCTAATATGTGGGGTCTCCCCTAATATGTGGGGTCTCCCCTAATATGTGGGGGTCCCTCCAGTCCTTGGGGTCATCCCTAATCTAGGGGTCTCCTCCCAATTTTTGGAGTCTCCCCCTTAATCTGTGCGGGTCCCCCCAATCCTTGGGGCCTCCCCTAATCTGTGGGGGTCTTCCCAATCCTCGGGGGTCCCCCCCCCCCCCATCTGGGGACACACGCTTCCTTGCCCCGGCAGAACTACGACACGACGGAGTCGAAGCTGCGACGCGAATTCGAGGTCTACGGCCCCATCAAGCGGGTGAGCGCGGGGGTTACCCCCCACCTGACACCCCCATAAACAACACCTGCTATTGGGATGACGCCTGATGCCTGTTCCTACACCCTTTTTTTAGATCTATATGGTCTACAACAAGCGCTCCGGGAAGCCCCGTGGCTACGCCTTCATCGAGTACGAGCACGAGCGGGATATGCACTGTGAGTACCCCCCGCCGCAACACCCCTTTCCCCCCTACAACCGCATGTCCAACCTCTTAACCACAACCGTGCGTTCCCTGGGTCCCTCCAGGGCCCGCACTCCGCAGGTAAGTACAGCCAGGGGGAGGACGTACAGGCGGCCGAGGCTACGGGCGGCTGAGGCTATAGGTGGCTAAGCTATAGGCAACCAAGGCTACCGGTGGCCAAGGCTGCAGGCGACCAAGCTATAGGCAGCCAAGGCTACAGGTGGCCAGGGGTACAGGCGTCCAAGCTATAGGTGGCCAAGGCTACCGGCAGCCAAGGCTACAGGCGTCCAAACTATAGGCAGGAAAGGCTACAGGTGGTGGCCGAGGCTACAGGCGGCCAAGGCTACCAGCGGCTAAGCTATAGACAACCAAGTCTACAGGCGGCCAAGCTATAGGTGGCCAAGGCTACCAGCAGCAAGGCTGTAGGCGGCCAGGGGTACAGGTGGCCAAGGCTACAGGCGGCTAAGTTATAGGTAACCGATGCTACAGGCGACGAGGGCTACAGGCAGCCAAGCTATAGGTAACCAAGGCTACGGGCGGTTGACCAAGCTGCAGATGTTGGCCAGGGCTACAAGTGTTGGCCGAGGCTACAGGCGGCCAAGGCTACCGGTGGCTAAGCTATAGGCAAGCAAGGCTACAGATGGCCAAGCTATAGGTAGCCAAGGCTACGGGCAGCCGAGGCTAAAAGCAACCCCGGCGGCACGCGGCCCAAAGATAAGGAGGGGACGCCAAGGTATAGGTAGGCAAGGCTACAGGCGGTGGCCAGGGTTATAGGCGAATGAACTATAGGTAGCTAGGGCCACAGGCGGCCAAGGTACAGGCGGTTGATCAACTACAGGCATTGGCCAAGGCTCCAGGCAGCCGAGGCTGTAGGCAGCCAGGCTACAGGTGGCCAAGGCTACTAGCAGCCAAGGTTACAATCAGCCAGGCTACCAGCGGGCGAGCTTACAGGCAGCCATACTACCGAAGCCAAAGCCACAGGCAGCCAAGGCTACTGGCAGCAAGGCTGCAGGTGTTGGCCAAGTTACAGGCGGCGGCCAAGGCTAATGGGAGCGAAGGCTACAGGCGGCCAAGGCCACAGGTGGTGGACCTGAGGCTACAGGCAGCCAAGATGGCTGAGGTTACCAGCAGTCAAGGCTACAGGCAGCCAATGCTACCGGTGGTGGCCAAGGCTCCAGGCAGCAAGCCTACAGGCGGCCAAACTACAGGCAGCCAAGGCTCCAGGTGGCCAAGGCTCCAGGCAGCCAGGGCTACAGGCAGCGGCAAAACTATAAGTAGCCATGGCTACAGCCGGCCAAACTATAGGTGGCCAAACTACAGGTGGTGGCCAAGGCTACTGTTGGCCAGACTGCAGGCAGCCAAACTACAGGTGGCAGTCAAGGCTACAGGCGGTCAAGCTATAGTTAGCCAAGGCTACAGGCGGTGGCCGAGGCTACGGGCAGCTAGGCTATAGTTAGCCAAGGCAACTGGCGGCCAAGATTACTGGTGGCCAAACTACAGGCAGCCAAACCACAGGTGGTGGCCGAGGCTACAGGCAGCCAGGCTCTGGTTAGTCGAGGCTGCAGGCGGCCAAGGCTACAGGCCACAAAGGCTATAGGCGGCCAAGGCTACAGGCAGCTAAGGCTACTGGTGGCCAAACTACAGGCAGCCAAGGCAACAGGCAGCTACAGTCGGGGGGTCGGGAAGCGCCGCTCTCTCCCCTCACCCCCTCGGGAGGGCAAACCGGGCTAAAAACCGGGGAAATCAGTCGCTGCGCTACCGGTTGTACGTCCGTCTGTTACCGGCGGCTAACGGGGTGTTACCGGCGGCGGACGGGGGCGTTAACCGACGGTTAAACGGTGCGGGGGGGGGACGCCTGTTGCCGACCGGGGTTGTATTAACACTGTTTTATTGTCACTGCAGCCACCTTTCTGATGGCTTTTGCCACTGCTGGCTTGCAGCTGATCCTAGTGCTCCCCCTTCCAACACCTCAGTGTATGGTTGGTATAAGGGTTTGTATCTTGGTAAGACACGTTTATAACCCCCCCACGCCACGAAACATCACCGGGGGGGGGGTTTAGGGGGGTCCCTGGAGCCCCCCCAAACCCTCCCCGGGGGCAGGGGGGGG